TGATTTCCTGAACTTTCCAGTCACATGTGCAGCAGTGCAGCTCTGATCAGCCATCCTCTCCCCTTTCTGCTTCTTGTTTGCCCCAACAAATCAGTCTGGACCACACTTCCCCAACCTTAGTCCAAATCCTCCATGGTTCTTTGTGTAATCCACAATGCACTCCTCCACATTCTGGCTTCTTATCCCAGTTACTGTCTGTTTAGTCAAGTACTGTTGAAGTTTTAAAACATAAATGCCTGTTTAGCTCTACTTTAAGTTATCCTCAAGCAAAGGCTTAAAGGACATTTGTAGAATGATTGAATGATGATTGATGTGTCAGCATGATTTGTAAGTGAAAAGAAGAGGAAATGGAGGCCACGTTTTAGATTCAAAACTACTGAAATCCCCTTGAGAGTAATAGGAAAAGGTGGTCTCAGACATCTGCATCTCAGGACAGTGAAAATTCTGCTCTAAAAATTTGAAAATTAAGGGCTGATTTGAATTAAATCACAAATCTTTCTTTAGAAAGTACCCTTTAGGAGTTCTTGCCTTTGTGATTTTTGCATCCATCCGTCATGATTCTCTAACCACACTGCTGTCCGCTAGCACGACCAGCTCTTCTGGTTGTGTGTTATGTCAAAATTCTAGCCATTAAAGGAAGGCTGCTTATGTCCAGGGGCACAAAATTTCCTTAAAGCAAACATCTCTTTTATGAAGGAAGTCTGTGGGTAGGGAGGAATGCCTTTCAGTCTAAGATGTGTCCTTTTCCTATAATGAGCGTACCTACATCAACCCTCAGCTTCCTCCCAGCTTCTCTCACTCTTCTGCAAGTGTATTACGTGTCTGAAGACACGGCATAATGAGGAAGTCTCTTACTTCTCCCCATTGCCATGATAAAACTAGGATAAGAAGCTTAGCAGGAACTGTTTCTTGAGTTCTAGAAAATGGATTCTCTGGGTTGACACTAAAGAGTGTCTTCTCTGTCAGACTATTAAAAAATTCTCTGTCTTCTTTTTTTTTTTCAGTTAAGAGGCTAAAGGGATAAGATGGCACTTAATTGGATACCAAAGATTGTATTTAATTTAGCTTCGTTTGCCCGTTTCCCTCTTTGCCGTGTTCCATTGGTGCTCATTAAGTTTGTGGTTAGTGGATGCGTCAGTACGGAGGAAGAGCCAGTCTCCATAAGGTTTGGGAACGTAAACTGGGAGGCAAGCAGGACCTTTCTTCTGCTTGGTCTTTTTATGTGGACCAAAATTCCCGGTATGATGAGAAGCCTTCTTTTGAACTAAGGCACTGATTTGTCAAAGCTCCTATTAAACCATGTATCTGGGATGAGTGTTCATCTGTTTTTTTATTAGTCTTTTATCTCCTCTTCTAATTCTGTTGGCAAAGGGCAGAGCCCTGAGGCACTGGGACTCAGGATCCAAAACACTTCTAAACCGAGTAGGGTTTGGCCGTGTTTACCAAAGGGTGGAAACATACCAATGGTGGCATCAGAGATGATTTTAGGGGAGACCCAGATGGGACATTATGTAATACTGAGTTGCTCTGTGTGAAAGTTAGTTCCTTTTCCATTCTCTCTCAGTTCTGATTTCTCTAAGGTCAGAATCTCAAATTGGTGTCAGGATTATCCTTAATGCTTCTCTAACACTGGCTAATCACTTTTTCTTGGCAAAGCATAGAGAGGCAAGAGCATTTATGCAATTTTTTTACATTGTATTCATTATACTATTATTACGTATTCTTTAATGTATATATTATTTTTATTTGTATGGTTACCTGCCATTGATTGCACGTGATAACTCTAGAGGGAAGTTTTCTTTCGAGAAATAAAGTATGTCATCTTAAGAAAATTGTTATTTAAATCATAATCCAAGTTGCAGAGGGACGTGGTAGCAATTACTTGGGTGGCATGAGAAGACTGATGCTTGGGAACCACTGGGAGAGGGAAATGATTGAGAAATGCCATTGCCAAATGCCTCCTCTAGCCAGACGAGCCACAGGCTGGCACACAAGGCACGGTGGTGGCTTCTAGATGTAGGGCTGGAGGCTGTATTGGAAGCAGGGTAGGAAAGGCGAGGAAAGAACCCTTAGGCGGCTTGTAACATGGAGGGCATCTTCTCTCCAAAGTGGCAGTGTGGCAAAGCCCAGTTTTTCCCACACTGGTGCTTTTCTTGCCAAAGAAGTTAAGAAGCTCTTCTCCAGGGGGAAGAATAACTGCCCTATTGACTATAACGCGCATCCCCGTTTTAGGTCCGATTCTCGATCTCACTTGGTCATGGGTTGCTTTTGTCACTATGGCCTGATAAAAATGCTCTTCTGAAAAAGAGCTGTTTGGAAAGAATTCAGACTTTACAGCCACACAGCATCATACTTTGTATAAATTACAATGATTTATTCTCCTTTCCTCTTTCATCTCATTTTCCTCCGTTTTTATAACAGCTGAGTAAGCATGCACTCTCGGTTTATTTTTTCACGTTAGTGCCTATGCATTTTCCAAGTAGGGTTGCATTAGGAATATCCGATTAGTTAACACGATGATATTGTTAACTGCCTGTCTTGAGATTTTGTGAGCCCTCGGTGGAGCTCATATGCCCTTTGAATGACCACAGAAGCACCGCCGCTCCAACTCCCGAAGTGGGAATCAGGTTCATTTCCCTCATGCAATAATTTAGGGATAACCCAACCGGAGAGAAACCGTCTTAGTTCATCAGTGCGCTCACTCCAAGGGCAGCCGGGCAATTCTTTCCCGAGACATCTGTCTGATCAGGATCTGATCCAGAACATTTCTGAGCGTAAGTTCATTTTATAACTTTATGATTTTCCTCCCTCCTGCTTTCTTTCTAACAGCCTCACTTTTCTATTTCATTTCCCAATCCTGAACGTGAGAGTTGGGAGAGCCCCTTTTTATGGAGTGGATGCTAAAGTGCTCTGTTAGGCCGTATATTTATTAACTGGAGTGAAATGGCTTTTCACAGCCAGGCAACCTTCCTAGCCTCCTTGCTACCTCTATATTTAAGAAAGTCACTCCTTGCATGTGCTGGACAATGGCTCTGTGTCAACCAGTAAGGAAAGAGAGAGAAGGCTTCCCTGGTGGCGCAGTGGTTGAGAATCTGCCTGCCGATGCAGGGGACACAGGTTCGAGCCCTGGTCTGGGAAGATCCCACATGCCGCGGAGCAGCTAGGCCCGTGAGCCACAACTGCTGAGCCTGTGCGTCTGGAGCCTGTGCTCCGCAACAAGAGAGGCCACGACAGTGAGAGGCCCGCGCACCGCGATGAAGAGCGGCCCCCGCTTGCCACAATTAGAGAAAGCCCTCGCACAGAAACGAAGACCCAACACAGCCAAAAATAAAAATAAATTAATTAAAAAGAAGGCTCAACATTAAAAAAAAAGAGAGAGAGAGAGAGAGAATGTGGGGGGCTGCAGGGGAGCCTTGACACAGCTAATGAGTGCATTTCCGGTTCTCATTATCCACAGGTGTTCCGTGGCTTTCACATGTCTGCTGCGCGTCTCTCTGTTCACTCAGTTTGCTATTACTAACATGTGGGTTGCCTTTGATGGAGGATGTATTTATTTTCTGTATCGAAATTTTACTTGTGTTTATGCCTGAGATCCAATCTGGAATAGCTTTGGGGGCGGGGGTGGGGGGAAAAGGAGAAGGAGAAATAGGGAAGAGAGTGTGTGTGTGTGTGTGCGTGCGCGTGTGTGTTACCATCTCAAGGCACCCCTAACAGAGATGCCAGGCTGTCAGATGGTCCCCTCCAAGAGGTGCTCTCTGCTGGATTAGCTTTAGCAGGAAGATTCCCTTGTGTGACATGTAACTTTGGTGTATCTAGTTGCATCTCTTGCCACCAGCATACCTGTCAGATGTGATCAGAGGGTTTGCAGCTAGTCCCATTCCATTTTCAGATAATTTATTTTACTTTTTCTCTTTTTCTTCCTCTGAGTTAGGATTTGGCAGTTGTATGTGCCGGGAAAGTGCAGGAGGATAGCCCAGCACTACTCTGTTGTTCCTCAGTGGCCGCTTTGGGACGTTTGTTTTCATATATATTCACAATTTGAGAATGAATACAAATATACATTCCGTTAAGGAAAACCTCTGATCTCTGGTTCTATAGCAGCTTGGTTAGATAAGATCACAGATTTCGTGGACGCTCCCTCTTCTTCCTGGAGACGGCACATTTGTGCCATTGTTGGTCACCGCAGAGCTTGATAACGGCTGGCTGGAGATGCGACCACCACAGTGGAGAAGCAAGGGTTAGGTGGCCTGGGTTGATAAAAGTTTCTGCTCCCCAACCCTGATAATACAGCCGGTGGAGGACGGCTTTTGTGTCTTTCTCAGTGGAAAGAAGAAGGTTTGCTACTCAGCAGGCAAAAGCAATATTTCAACTCTTGTAAAAGAGTTGCAAAATGCCATATATGTCCAGAGAGACTATCATGGCTTTATTTGTGTTCTTCATTATTTGCCTGGTTGTGTTCAAACTGGAAACTCTTACTGTAATTAAGCAATACTTTTATTTATATTGGAAAGTATGTAAATTGTTTGCCTTCTGGCATTCCCTACAGTACCCTTGGAAGAGTTGCAGAGTCTCTTGTCTAAAATTAAAGACCAATAACACGACACTCAATTCTTTGGAGGCAGTATGAGATGCAGTTTCTCTGAGCTTAAGAGGAGATTTTCCAAAGGTTTTCATGGCTTGCAAAAAATAAACAGGCAGATAGCATTCTCTATACCTACGACCTTTCTGAGGAGTGGCTGCAGGTGCTGTAGAGGTGATACTGTAAGGCCTGTGGACTTACCAGACTACTTCAGAGATTGTCTTTTTAAGATAAACCATATACAAGAAAATATTGGAAAGAACCGTAAAATGGTATATGCTTTTGTACTAGGGAAGAGGAAAACGGGGATTTGTCAGAAGACAAGACAGTCCTTCACAGTTTTCTAAAATAAGATGGTATTATTGACTGATGCCACCAATTTTTCCCCCTAAAGTAAGATATCTTTTCTTTTCCCCACTAGCACCCTCATCCATTGCTTTGGTCCAGGCTAAAGAAGTTACAAGATACAGTGTTGCTCTGGCTTGGCTGGAACCAGACCGGCCCAATGGGGTGATCTTGGAGTATGAAGTCAAGTATTATGAGAAGGTATTACTTGAATAAGCAAGGTTCTTCTCCTTTCTTCCCCCCAACCCCTCTTTCCTTCCCTCCTTCCTTCCTTCCTTTCTTTCTCTCTATAGTTTTGGTCAGTTATAAGTCCTGGAATACTAGTAAATCTCAAAACCAAATGCATTTTGCTTCCCAATCAAATCCAATTATGAATTTTATGTATTGAGTTGCTAATCTTAAAAAAGAGAAAAAACACATTATGTTCTAATATAACTGTATTTTTTCTTTCTAGTCCTGCAAATCAAGATAGCTAAGCTAAGAATGTCTTATCTATAAACCTTCTATCAGGAAGAGTGACTCATAAAAGTTGAAATAATGATCTGTTTAAGTAGATCACTGCTATTCAGAATCAAGGTGTGGATTTTGATGACTTTTAATAGAAAATCAAGGAAAGAAAATTACATTCTTCAGCCTCTTAAAGTTATAGAAAGACATTATGTTTTACAAATAACTTGTCTCTTAAAGGACAGCATTCTGAAGAGAGTTATTTGCATTCAAGGTTGTCTAGAAAATGAACAATTGTCTCTTTCTTTTTAAAGGTAATCACTTATTGTCTTCCTTATTAAAAGCAGAAAGGGGACAGGATTTTTTTTTTTTTTTCTTGAAACCAGATTATAACATTTTTGACATTTTCTAGAATGGAAAATAGAAAAAGAAAAGGGACCTTCTTGCAGTAGTTATTTCTGTGAAATTGCTGGGTGTGGAGTGAGAAAAGCCATCAACCATCATCTAATGTTCTTTTCAAAAAAAAGATTATGGGTAAAGATCTGGATATGGTCAGTGTCAATAGCGATCATACCTGAACTCCACATTTCTTTCAACATCTAAGTAACAATAGTACCTCTAACATTGAACTGAATATAGTGTTTAGAGTTTATCAATCTCCATTTACTTTCAACCTCTGAGTGGACTGGCTTGGCTGCTTTAATACTGTATCGGAGTAAGTGGGAGATTTATTTTGCCACCTTCCCTAATTTTATCCTCTCGTAATGTAGGATCAGAATGAACGAAGCTATCGGATTGTTAGGACGGCTGCCAGGAACACGGATATCAAAGGCCTGAACCCTCTGACTTCCTATGTTTTCCACGTCCGAGCCAGGACAGCAGCTGGCTACGGAGATTTCAGCGAGCCCCTGGAGGTCACAACCAACACAGGTAGCGAGTTCTGAGATTCTTTGTACAATCCAGGGCAAATCCCATTATGGTGAACTAAGAAGCTATACAAATTTTTGGTTAGGCAAACACTTTGTTGCAAAGGCTATTGCTTGAAACTAGATACCCAGTGTCCGTAACTTAGCACACCTCTTGCTATTTAGAGAAGAACATTTTTCATAACGGTATCTGATCTGTCTTTTCATATGATTGAAAAATGTCTATCTTTCTCCTGTGTTGAGCCTTCCATAAACCATGAAAACTGGGATTGCCAAACTGACTAATGGACAGTTGCATAACTATCTTACATTAAGCTAAGGAGTTTTCTCCCTGGGAAGATTAGAGAAGGTACCAATTTTTTTTTTTTCTCTCCTATTTATTTCTAGGAATCTGTTCAAATCAAGTCAGATCAGTTTTTTTAAAAGCCCCTCTAGACAACTACATCAGTCTTTCAACATTGTGAGTTGGACCAACTGGATGATTGAATCAAAATGTTAATAGAGGGCATACCTATGAATAAGCAATTTACATAAGACATCTCCCCTCCATAATTAACAAACCAAAATTGAGCCTACTGGATAAGGAGCTGGTGGGGCAGAGTTTCCTACATTAATTCTAGAAAGTAATTTTATTCACAAATTATTAAATAGAATATGAATGAAAAAAGAAAGAAAGTACTCTAGAATAAAATCTGAAGGGGTTTGACATCCTTTGTGATTATCCTGGAAGGCTTCAAGGAGGAAGTGGCTTTTGAGCTGGGCAATAATAGACAGGTTTTTTATAGATGGGGTGTGAGGATGCAGTGGAGAGGTCATTCAAAACTGCTTGTCCTTTTGGCAATTTCCAGGTGTCTTTCTCACTAAGGAATTCATCAGATCCTTAAGTAAGAGTTTGGGCTGAGACTAGAAAGGAAGAGAAGAAAAAGCCATGAGTGGAAATGTTTACCATAGGATTTAATAAGAGTCTTCTGGTTGGAATTCTTCATACAATTATAAAAAAGAATGTCTTTGTCTCATTAAGGCTGTCTTAGAAGATGCTGTTGTGTGAATACTTAACGTAGAGCAAAATAGGCTGTGAGCATTTCAAATGGCTTCAGAGAGTTGAAACTTGTGACAGTCAGAAGTTCTATCGTTTAGGACCTTGCCCAAGGTGATCCTTGTGTAACTGTCTTTGCCAGTGCCTTCCCGGATCATTGGAGACGGGGCCAACTCCACCGTCCTGCTGGTCTCCGTCTCCGGCAGCGCAGTGCTCGTGGTTATTCTCATCGCCGCTTTTGTCATCAGCAGGAGGTAAGCACTTAAGCCACTCACTGCCCCTGACCCCCTTCCCAGTTTTTATGAGGGAGCTTTTTGTCTCCTCCACACAAAGCTGAGGCTTTTGATTAGCATCATAAACATGGCATTTGCAGCACAAACTCCCTCCTCTTTGCTTTGATCTCCCCACCCCGCTGCTAGAGCTTCCGGCTGGACCCTGGTGGCAGCCCTCACCACTGAGAGTCCTGGAAAGACCCAACTGATTGCAGGAAACTAAGCTGAAAAGCGGGCCATCGGGAACTTTCTAGATATTCTAGGCTGTAAGGTGTTACATTTATACCTCTCTTAAGCCTGAACTGACTGCCAAAGGCCAAAAAAAAAAGCCATATAAAACAGACCTCACATTTGAGCTCTATTTGTCAACTGTGTTACTTCACCTCTTTGAGTCATTGTTTCCTTTTTGTAAAATAGGGATAATAAAATATCTGCCTCTAAGAGTTATTGACAGGAGAGTTTTGATAGGCAAAGTGGATCATCTGTCACACAGAGAGTACTTCAACATGATATTGGTTCATAACAGTAACCAAAGCAAGGAAGTGGGCATTCCATCTTCCCTTAGGAAAAGCCATCGACATTTCCAGAGAGTATCCTTTGAGCACTTCGTGTGCATGGCATTGTTCCTGGAAATGGATCTAAAACAGCAATTACTTATTCTATGAGAGTTTACACTCTAACTTGATACTTGGAAAACAGTCTAGAAAAGAGAGGCATAGGAAGAGCTTGACAGCATATTCTTTGTGTGTGTGTGTGTGTGTGTGTGTGTGTGTGTGTGTGTTACAATAAAA